AAAATTAACTGGGCATAGTCCCAGTTACTTGGGAGGTTGAGGCAGGAGAATCACTTGAACCCAGGAGGAGGAGGTTGCAGTGAGCCGAGATCGCACCACTGCACTCCAGCCTGGGCAACAGAGCGAGACTCATCTCAAAAAAAAAAAAAAAAGTTAAAAAGAAGTAAAAATTAAGGATTATTCACTATTCTGAATATATCAGTATTATATGTTATATTATACATTATATAAGGGTTATTAAGTATTCATATATATATAAAAGAGATGGGGTTTCACTTTGTTGCCCAGGCTAGTCTCAAAAAAGAAGAAGAAGAAGATGAAGATGGACTTCTCAGGCTAAGGAATTTTAGAAAGCCAGTGAACCTCTGAATGGCTGCAGTGACTCACACTTTGAAAGGGCCTGAACTCAGTGCGCTTTTCTTTTTAACTTCTCTGCAGAAGAAAAAAAAAAAAAAAAAAACTTCTGAATGAAATTAACATACTTTATTTGCAAAATCATTACACGAGTAGACTTAACCTTCTGGCACATGACAAAATAATTATATTTTATATTTTGATGTTTTGGGTTGGAGGAAGAACTTGGCCGTAGGCAGGTATCCAGGAGAATCTGCTAAATCTGGGTTTATAAACATGAGCAGTTTCACTTTCTGTAAATCAAGCCCTGTATGTATGTGGATTGAATCCTTCATCTGCTATTTTTTTCTAACTTGTTTTTTTCTGAGAAGCACAGTTTCTCACGATGCAGCATTCCAGGAAGGCTTATGTGATCAGGGGAAGTTTGAGATGTACTGTGCTTTATCCTTTCGTTCTTACAGAGTCACACAGCTCTGAGAAGGGCTATGGTCAGGGGACTTGTTTAATGTGGCTTCACTTAGCACCACCTAAACTGGTTTGACTGGAGGATCCCCAATATTTTGGATTGTCATCTTTTATTAGCTTACAAACCACTGTCGTCGTCTGTAGTGCCTACTTAAAGTGTACCTGATTAGTCTATGAATAGAACTACCAAAATAACCAAATCACTTAAAAAACTACATGGTTTTAGATGAAGCATATCCCTAGTTTTAGGATATTGAAGAATTTAGGAGTGAAGTAGCATGATGTCAGAAACTTTATTACAACTCCTTCTACCAAATAGTTTATACATGTAGTACATGCGTGTATAGCTATACGAACACACATGTGCACGGGGACCCCAAACATGGCAAAATGTCTGCAAGTGATGAATTACAATGAAGGATGTGATTTGTACAACTTTTGATATATCTATGTTTCAAAACTTACTATACAAAAAGAGGAAACTCTTAGGAACACAAACATAAGCTACTTTAGTTATTGGGAAAATCAGGAAGCTGCCATACAGAAGAGTTGATTAGGAGAGAAAAGGAATTTTAAGATCCAAGAAGAAGTGAAAGGGGGAGATTCATGCTATTGACTAGAGACAGCTACATACCACAAGAAAGGTTTTTCAGGTCATTTTTGGAATTGCCTTGCCATTCCTCTAAGAGTTATGACTCCATATTCAAGAGTTTCTACCTTAGGCCCTTCAGCCAGGCCGATGGGAACATTGCCCAGAAGATTGTCGGGGTGTTATTTGTTTTCATGCCTGTCTGGGTCACAGCATGACACAGAAAACCTTGCCAACTTTTAATTGTGTTATGTAGCCAAATAAATGGGGAAGCCATTCTGGAGGGGCTCTCAAGATTTGCCTGATGCCCCAGCTGCTTGACCAAGTGGAGCCAACAGCTTGAAAATCGCTACAGCCAGGACTGGCCTGACCTTGATCTTCCTTAGACTGGCTATTAATCCCCAACTTGCGCTGGGTCTGGAAAGCAATGTGTGTAATAGATTGCATGTCATCTTGTATGCTTCTAGGGCACGGACATTGGCATGCAGTATTTTCTGAATAACTTCTGAAGGACTTTAGTGAAGGTTGTAGCATTCAGAGGTGGAAGAGTTCCTTAGTTTTCGGATTCTGCTTTGATATATCATTAGCTGAAACAATATTGCAAACATTACTATTGCCCTATGGGAGAGACAAGAGTCATTTAGTTTCCTGGAATTGCTGAGATGCTTCTTTTAATATTGTAAAACTCTCGCTAATATGCTCTTTCAACAATGCTAGTGTCTTCGCAACCCTGACTCGCCTTGCAAAGCTTTTGCTTTTCCCGTTACTTTTCTTCCTCCTTTTTTTTTTATTGTTTGACCTCTACAGTAGGTTATAAAAATTGTGAAATTGGATTTGTTCATATTGCTGATAAAGGTTTTAATAGTAAAGGTTCCTACCTTCTTCACTAAGTGCTTCTTAGTGCACATCAAAATTATCACAGTTCTGGTGATCTTTTGATACTCTGCATGTTGCAAATATTTATGTTACAGATACTTCTATTAACATTTACTTATATATTACAGATATTTCAGTCAGTTGTTACAAATGTTTCTATAACATTAATACACGGTTCTATGCTGCATTTATATTACACATGAAACATTTTATGTCATTATTATGTTTGCTAACAGCAATGTGATATTTATGTACTTGAATATCTTGTACATTAAGGCATTAAAGTTGCACAGAAGTGTCAGAAAATAGTACTTTCACATCAATATAAACATGTACTTACATTTTATCTTCCATTTCCCACTGGAAACTAAATAGTAATCTTTATAGAGTAATAATTATAAAATAAATTGCAAACAAATGATAAAACTATAAAACTTTATGTCTTTGTTGTGCTTCAGATTTTGCAAGGTATTGTCACCTACAATATTAGCAAAGGTAGCTCAACAAATGATAATCCAATATGTCTGCAAAAGCTCTTTTTGTAAATTCATGAAACAAATGAAGCT